CTCTGAAGTTCTCTCAACTTGTCGTCATGTCCTGCCCACGTTTCTTAATTATTTTTACTGCCTGCATCGCCAACCTGTGCAGCACCGATGCGATGACCAGCGGTCTATACGAACTAATGTTATCCTTTTGTTCCTCGCCTTTATAGATAAGGTTTATTTTACTTTTACGCCATCTCTCCAGTATTTGCCTGTCCTGTAATCATTTTTCTATGGCTGTCAACAGTGCTTCCTTAGTGTTATGTCCTAGTTCGTTAATGGGGCTGGCGGGAACTCCATCTAAATACGGCGCAGTGGAATTTTCCCTTCAGTCTTTCTCCACTTGAAATTCTCAAGTTCCAGCTCTTCCTCAGTTGTGCCTTCCGTCATACTTTTACTCACCGGGGAAACGCCCTAGGCAATTTTTAAACGATACTCGGCTGTTACCTTTCAGACAAAAGCTTTCAATTCGTGCCGCTCCGAATGATTTCCTCCTTCATCTACCATCTGGGACAGAAGCCAGATGAAGCTTTATTGGCACAGCGGATCGTTCGCCTAACAATATAACTTATGAGTCTCAAGCGCAAACGCTTCACGTTTACTCGTCGTCTTCATCTTCGGCGAGCACCGCACTGGTTCATGTCCATGTCGCACAGTCATATTTTATTGTTGCACTGTGGCAGACTTCCTACCTAGCGCCTTTGGGTGGCTCCAAAATATCCTGTGGGCGCAGCCTTTTTTTTTTGTATGTCCGTCACCCACACCTCACTTTCATCTTTTAACTTTTGCCTCGACCGATTTCTGTACAATGGACTTTTTCGCTAGATATATTTCCCAAATTTGTTGACTTCGATCGTCCTGCGACCGCTTCTCCTTTTTTTTCTATGCTCCCATGATGCTTCACGCCACTTCTCGATCGCTTCCCGGATTTCCTTATTCCACCAACTTCTTGGCTTCCTGTTTCCTTTTCAGCAAATTGTTTTCTTTTGTTTCCATATCTCTTTCGTCATTAGATGTAACAGCTCGCTATGCTCTCAATCCTTGCCCAGTATTTTCTTACTCCTGTGTCAACTCCTGCGGCTATGTTTGTTATTTGCATGACATTTTAATATGAGCTTCCAGACTTCGATTCTATGCTCTTATTTCCAGTTTTGTATTCCATGTGTAATATTATGCGTTTATAATCCCTGCTCAAGCTTTTAAAGGGACCGACAACTGCCCAGATCATGAAATGAGATGACTGCGCGGATGGAAAGATTTTCGCTTCTATTAAATCAAACCAACCCTGTTTTTCTCGTGAAAAGTGAAGATATTTTCATTTTTTCGTTAAAAATTGCGAAAATGGTCCGTGGCGCCACCTGGTGTCGGAAACTTCAATTATCCAATGTGCCCTGCCATGTGACCGTAAACTATAGTTTACGCGGTTAACAATTTTCCTGTTGGTATTGAAATATTGTTTGCTTCTTTATAGTAAAAAAGACATTGCTCCATAAAAATGTACGCATAGGCCTATGTTAGTAGTCCGCATAAAAGTGGCGGTGCCTTCGCATGACGTAGTCATCTCACGCTTGTCAGCGCGTCTTGTGCAACTTTTCTGCATGCTCATGTAGCCGTGCACGCAATTTCCGGATAGCTAAGATTTTGAGCGACGTGGCTTTTCTGGTTTTTTTGTTTTTTTAGATTACCCGCAGTGTCATCTTAGGCATCATTCCGGGGGGGGGGGGGCACAGTGACTCATAGAATGAATCCGCAGTTTACAATTTGTCTCAGAAATTACGTGTGCTGCTAGTCGGCACGGCCGCGCATATGCGCAGTGGCGTGTTTTTTTTTTTTTCGGTGACTTGGCTTGGCACGTGTAACGACGATGGGACAAGCCATCACGACGCAGACCTCGGGCTCAGGTGCACGCAGCGCGGTAAAAATATAGAGAAGCTGTATAAAGCCACAACGCCTTATTGTAACGTCTTGTTATTGCAAAAAAATAGTTGTGGAGCTCAGAGTAAACGTGTTTAAGCATGGTTACAAGAACTCCTGCGAAAGCAGAACAATGACAGCATGCACAAGTCGCCAGAAAGGCTACCGGCATCGCTATCAATTCTCAGCGTTGCTGGATGAAAGGGTTCATCCATATTCAGAGCCTTTCAGATAAAAAAATACTACTACTAAAAAGTGACCACGTGCTTTTCAAATTAACTGCAGCTGCGAACACAATGAAGGGTAAACTTTCTGCTGCGCCGGAAAAAAACTGGGTTGAAAAAATCATTTATCAGTACCTTTAATCCCTTCTTCGTGTGTTCTCATTTCCCTCAGTTTGAAATGAACTCATTCAGTCATGAGACAGTAATCAATACTCCATTGTTTGTTTCCACGTGATCTGCCTGTCGCATTTAGGCCCCGTGTTAACTATGTTTCATACTGTGTTTCTCGCAAAGATCTAGCAATAACTCCTCATTTGTGTCGAAAGATCTGTCAAGGTCACGTATGTGGGCATCAGTGGCACGGCCGCTGGATGAAAACCGTACGCCTTTAGGGGCGAAGCTCCTTAGAACGTGGGTCTGTACATCCCATGGAGTTTGTTGTTGATGATGTACGTAGTCACCGGTGGCACATACCCGCTCTAAAGCGGGTATGTGCCACCGATGTATGCACTCAAATGTATATCGTATGACCATATGAAACCAACCACGATACGAGCATGCATTGACCTAGTATTTGCAAATTTTGCACTGCAACCTAAACAGGAACAGTTCACCCTTCATTTTATGAACCACAAACATTATGATGGCGGCCAACATAATGAAGGGACATCGCAAGCCATCCATCGTCTCTAAGAACAAATAAAAGTTAATTTCTATTTATACACACACAGTGTTTCTCATGATGTCTTTAGATCATAATCGACTGGGCGAATTACCTGCGGAAGATTCACGGTTTTACCGATGCTTCTCTCCGGAGCTTCACCCACTCGTCCTGATTCACCCCGTGGATATGGTGTGATATTTTTTTCATTCAGCGGCCGTGTCAGTGGCATAGCCAAAAATTTTTTTCAAGGGGAGGGGGGTAACCATATTTTATGTATGTTCGTCTTTGCGTTTGTGTGTGCGCGTGAATATATACGCAAGCGAAATTTTAAAAATTCGGAAAGGGGGGGGGGCAGGGGTAATGGTTACGCTAAATATATGTACATTTGTTTCATGCACAAACGTATGTTGAAGAGTTGCAGATGTTTATATAACCAGTTGCTGCACTTGCGCACCGATGCCAACTGGAACATGCGTATTAGCGACACCAGAAGCTGATACGAAGTGCTGGTGCTCACGAGGATGGTAGCCCGGGACACTGCTACATAAATAAACTTCAGCGCATGGCCCACAACAGCAATCGACGTTAACGCGTGGTGACTACTAAATCAAAGGAGTAAATATGTAATCTTTATAAAATTGGATAGTCAGCACTGCAACCACAACTGACGTTTCACCGAACATTAGGGTCTATTTGAAAAGCAGTTTCCAGACCTGGCGTGACACTGTGGTACGAATGCTTAATTGCAACGCATTGACTGATATGTGGGGTTTAACGTCCCAAAACCACCATTTGATTATGAGAGACGCCGTAGTGGAGGGCTTCGGAAATTTTGACCACCTGGGGTTCTTTAACGTGCACCCAAATCTGAGTACACGGGCCTACAACATTTCCGCCTCCATCGGAAATGCAGCCGCCGCAGCCGGGAATCGAACCCGCGACCTGCGGGTCAGCAGCCGAGTACCTTAGCCACTAGACCACTTCGGCGGGGCTTAATTGCAACGCAGAATACTGGGATTCGATTCCTGCTGGGATCCTGACATTTATTTTTGCATTTGTTGGGTCAACGCTGCCGGTGTCAGGTTTTTTAAGGCTCACACGTTCAAATTACCAGTATGTGTTCTCGTCGTTCCTGGGTAGATAATGGGTGTCAATCACCTGTGGCACATACCCGCACACCAGTGGCACATACCTGCCCGCGCGCATGTGCCACTGTCTGGCGGGAAGTGTTTGGCCACGTACGCGACGGAACTGTGACATTATTCATGTCGCTTGCCTTTATCTCTAACTTTAAAAATACTTAGGACGCTGGTGTAACAATTGGCTTTATTACTTTGCGCTGCTTGTGTGTGCATGTGCGTGCGTGCGTGCGTGTGTGTGTGTGTGTGTGTGTGTGTGTGCGTGTGTGTGTGTGACGTACGAAGGGGAAGGTTGTTAGTATAGAAGCCGATGAAGAAGAAGTCGGAATAAAATAAACTCGGAGTGTATGAGCCAGGCCACGTCTCCCAAATCTAGCATCACATATACATAAAAAGCTGTAGTGTTATACCATAGCCGCGAGCACCTCATTAGCCTTTGGGCGAACAAAGAAGTAGTAGAAAGAATGCATCGCAAAAGCAGAGTTACAAGCAACTTGAAGCAAGCAAGTACTGAACAAATGGGTGATTTGCATGTATAGATAAGATGCAGAAAAAGTGGGGACATTAGAGCCGCCAGTCGGAAACTGATGTGCTCACTTTTTGTCTGGGAAAAAAAGAGCACTGTACGATAACGCATCGGCGCGTAGCGAGTTAACAACTACCTCCACTTCACATGAGTGGAAACCATGAAGCGAACATGAGAATACTACAGAATAGCTATATTTGAATGTTATAATTACGCAGTAAATTGCACGCAGCATGAAACACGTGCATGCTGGTGTTTACACATCGCGGGCTGTTTTTTTTTAAAGCACATTTTCGCTCCAGCAGGTGTGCTGTAAAACCTGTAAGACGCTTAAGTCAGACAGCGCACGAAAGTTTAGGTTGAAGAATTTAATTGCCCCCGAAAGCTGGTCATATGTAAAGGTTTCGATGGGTAATCTGTTCACTGTTCTCGTCATTTATGGCGATGCAGCGACTTCGGCACCCAGAGATATCTGTACCATCCGCGCGTCTATCCACGCTCTGCGACAACACAAGTCAGCCTCGCCGGCTTGCTTGCCGAGCGCGAAGGGCGCCCACCTGACAGACCGAGTCCCCGTGCTTGGACAGTGCGTTGACCATGAGGCGACTGTAGGTGAGTCCCTTGGGGATGGGCATCGGCGAATACGCCGAGCGCAGAATCTTGCTCTCCGGGTCGAAAGACATCGCAACAGGTAACCACGCAGCTCCTCGTGGCCGCGCGCTATCTTCCCAGGCTCTAAGTACTGCGCCACCGGTTGTCCCCCTTTGCCTTCCTATAGACTCCTTCGGGCTATCAGCAGCGCCGGCCCGTGGCAGGTCATCTTAGATTTGAGCCTTTGCGCGCAGCGGCGAGTCAGATAAGGGCGCGGGGAATCGGCGCGTGTGTATCGACAATGGTGATCGTGCCCTCCGCGAAATTCCTTCTCGGGAGAGCTATAAACACGTGGACGCTCTCTCTAAGTGATTATGTAGAAGAAACGAAGAGAAAAGTGCCGCCCGTAACTATCACTGGGATGACACCTCAGCAGGTCGGCACAAGGGGAGGGGGAGTGGGAATAAAAGTGGATAGGAGAGGAAAAGCAAAGGAAGTAGAAAAAAAAGGGAGGGGGGGGGGCACATTCGTGTTCGCGTACGCGCGTCGAGACGCTCAGAAGACACGACCATCCAGAAAGGCCGCCGAGAAGGCCGGGAGAAGCTGATCCGGCCAGTTGTGAGAGGCGTGACGAGCCGTGTTGGCGCGTTTGATGTCGTGTGAGCGCGTAGCACTCGCCGGGGCTCGTAGCCGCGGCTCAGTAGAAAACAAGATCCGTTGTACTACGGGGGCGAGTTCTCTAGGCCTCAGTGCGATAAAAAAAAAAAAAGAAAGCACACAGACACAGCCGTCCACGAAGTCGCAGGCGCTCGAAGAGCGCCATGTACATGAAGGGGAGGAAAAAATTGGCCCCGTATCTGCATGTTAATCTGCAAATGTTGTCGAAAGACGATAGTCTTGCATGTGGAGAGAATAAACAAAACACCTATTTGATGTTCTGTGCCCGAAAATTGGTGAATGGTATTTTGGAGGCGCTGCGTTAGAGTGCCTCGAGCGTGCAGCGAAGGTAGAGCGGAGGCGAACGAGCGCATCAAGTCACGTCACACGTGAGACATGAGTGCCATCTGGCTGTTTTTTTGGAAAACGTTGCGCGTTCGAGCCGGGCGTGCGCGCCCGTCTCAGAGGTGGTATGGTGTAGAACGCAAGACGACAGGTAGGTGCCACCACCGTGTCGTCTTAGCAAAGTGTTGGAAACACTCGCCTTTTCGTGCAAGTGTTGCATGGTCAGCGCAGCGTGATAAACGCTATGGTCCTTAGAATTACTTATGTATGCCTTTTGTAGTAAAAGACGCACACGCAGATCATATACGTGTTGTTATGGTGCCTCAGATATGCGGAATAATTGCCTTTTGTAGTAAAAGACGCACACACAGATCCTATACGTGTTGTTATGGTGCCTCAGATATGCGGAGTAATTGCTTTTTAATCGACAATCGCACAAGTATGAACGCTGAATTTTGAGCAACATTGGTGGGCGCTGCGGATGAGGTCGGCCGTTTGGGGTATCGGCTGGTGCCGTTTGGAGTACCCGGTACCGTTAAGAGTGGACAAACAGACAAATGTACGGACAGACAGACCAAAATTTTTGCGTCGAAAGTCCTCAAGAAAGACTATCGTCTTTAATATCGTCTTCAAAAACAAAACAAAAGGGATTACAGACACGCAGGACCACGAAGTCACAGGCGCTCGAAGAGCGTCGTGTCCACGAAGAACGCAATGAGCGCTCTAAGGACGCGCCTGCGTGCACTGGCGTGCGTCCTAGGAAACAAGAGTTCTTCCACGGCGAAAGCGGGGAGCCCCGGTCGATGATAGGCAGCAGTGAGGTGGCGGCACTCATCAGTATAGGCACCGCACCACAGCAGAATATGATCTAAAGTCCCTGACGCAAGAGAAGAGAGCCTTGACAACACCGGCACTCGTGTTGTTCGTTTGTGTTTGCGTTGGCACGCGTTACTTTATGCCTTACTTTCCTTCAATTTATTTATTTTAAGACGCATCTAGAGGGTGTTACAAAAGGGGCGAATATACATAAATTACACAAATGGTAACAACGTGTTGACTGCGCGACAGGTAATATGTTACACTTTGCAGAAATTAAGTCGGACAGGTAATGGCAGCAGCCTTGTTGAAAATGTCACTTCGTTTTATTTCCTGAAAAGGGCCCTGCGACACTTTTGCGACAGCCTCATTTAGCAACAAAACGCTTGTAATTATGAATGCCGAGACGAATGCAAAAAGAATACCGTCCATCGTGATCTATTGACGATGTTTTTGGCATGCTACAACGCTCCCTTCATCACTGCACATCACTGCCAAAAGTCTCACGGAAATGAGGCGGCATTTTTATCACTTCTGTGTCAGAAAGGTTTCTTTTTTTTTTCAGTCATGAGCACACTAAGCTTATAAATGGTAAAATCACTGAACATGTCACATTTACTAATCTCGTTTCCTTTCTTGAGTCAAACTTTTTTTTTACACTTCATTTCAGCATGAGTATCGCAAGTAGTATACTCTTGCGAAATGCAACTATCGTTTATCCATAACATTTCCTCTTCTTTAGACAAAGACCATGTTGTTTACTGTATCTTTTTGGATTTCGTTTAAGCTTTTGGAAAGGTGTCTCATCGCTTACTACTTCTCAAGCTTAATATGTTTAACATTGACTCGAATATCTTGAACTGGATAGACTGCATTATAACTTACCGTACTCAATTTGGACTTGCTAAGCATGCTGCAGCTACGCGTTGTGATAGAAAGTCGGGAGTCCCTCAAGGCTCCGTCTTGGGCCCACTGTTATTTATAATTTACGTCAATAACTTACCTACTGTTGTTAATAGTTCTACTAAACTATTTGCTGATGATTGTGTTTTATATACCACGAAATAACTAACCAGCATGATAACTTTATTATTCAGTCAGACTTGGATAACATCTCAACCTGGTACTCACAATGGCTAATGTTCTTCAATCCCACTAAATGCAGAATCATGCTTTTCTCGCGTCGCCCTGACTCATCCAAATCTTTCTGCTATGCCATCAATATAACATCCAACTCGAGTACGTGATTTGATTGATGCGTGGGGTTTAACGTCCCAAAACCACCACATGATTATGGGAAACACCGTAGTGGTGGGCTCCAGAAATCTCGACCACTGAGGGTTCTTTAACGTGTACCCAAATCTGAGCACATAGGCCTACAACATTTCCGCCTCCATCAACTCGAGTACGTAATATAACGCAAATATCTCTGAATTTAGCTTCTCAATAACCTGTCTTGGCAGGCACACATTGAAACATCGCTAACAACCACAACAGGTCTCTCGCGTATACGCCGAGATTTTTTCCAAAACTTCATGTAATTTATTATTACTACTTACTACTATTTAATATACAAAACATTAATTAGACTCAAGCTTGAGTATGCTTCTGCTGTTTGAGACCCTGGTCAAAAAACATTAACAACTATCATTGAATCAGTTCAGAATCATTCAGCGCGTTTGATTATCTCAAACTATGGCCACACAGCTAGCGTTTCACCTATGAAATCGGACCTTGGACAAACAAATATAAAATTTCGAAAAAAAATTCTCGTCTGTCTTTTCCACAAGATCATATACCATAACTATTCACTTAAACAGCAACTCATCTCAGCACTTTCATACGTATCATCGCGTCTTGGTCATCAGTATAAAGTTTACATCACTTTTTGGCACACTAATGTTTTTTTAAGACTCCTTACCAAAAACGAGTGTTGAGTGAAACCGCCTTTCCCCCTCCATCACCTGCATTGAGGACGCTTCATCTTTTAAAGCTGCACTAAATGATTACGTCTTCAGCTTGGGCTTAGTTCGTTTGAACATGTATTTTCATTGATATGTTGTATTTCTGGGTTGTGTTTTTTGCATTTTTTGTTTTATTATAACCCACCCCCCTCTATAACACATGTATGCGCCCTGAGGTTAAAATAAAAAAAATGAAGTTACATGAAATGGAATTAAGACTTTCACAATGCTCAACCTGGCCAATAGCTGGGGGAGGGGGGGGGGTGAGCTAGCCCGCTCCTTCAGAAATTCGGACGTAGGGGGATCTTTTAACGATAAAAATTGAAAAGGTGTTTTTCAAGGTCTTCAACATGCCCCCCCCCCCCCCCCCCCCCCGCCGCCGGAAAAATTTCTTGCTACGGGCCTGGATCCAACCAAAAGTGGGTTTACTTTCCGACGTTTCAGAACCAACTCGGTTCTTTCTTCAGGGGAATTGCATGACATGGTAAGTGTTGAATACAACTTCTTTGACGGCTGAGCTTGGGAGATAGAGGAAAAGCGTATCTTCTTTCGACTATTAAATAACTGTGACTGCTGCGGTAGCGTGAGATCGACGGGCCCGGGGGAAACCCACGCAACCACACCCACCGCATGTCGGGCGGAGCTGCATGCAAGAGCAGTGGCGTACAAACTCTTTCGCGAGTTGGGGCAAACCTACCTCCCTCGTCAGCCGGAATATATATATATATATATATATATATATATATATATATATATATATATATATATATATATATATATATATATATATATATATATATATATATATATATATATATAATATATATATATATATATATATATATATATATATATATATATATATATATATATATATATATATCAAGAAGGACAGAGCTTTATCGACGCGCTTGCCCTTTCATGTGATTTTTCATACACACAGCACTTGTTCGATAGCGTAACAAAAGAGAGTCAGTCTTTAGCAGCATGCACTGAGACAACACATATATCACGTAAGGCATGTAACACGCGATGCTTTTTATGCATTACCTCGCAACTTTTCGCTTGAATACAATTACTGTTGATGGCGGCCTCTCCAACAGTACATATTTGCCTCAGTTAATGGATTTCAATGAGTAATAGTAGCTCACAAAAATATGAGTTTTTAAATGCGATGCAACACCTAAAACTTTTTAGAATAGCCCGAGAGCATCTCCTTTTAAATGTTATTCAAATAGGCTATACCCGCCGATCCTGTTAGACGCCGCTACTTATAGCAGCTGGCGAGATGGATCGATATTAGTTTAACAGAATATTTTCACTTGTAGCATATTGGCTTTTAGCAGTTTGATTGCTTATACATCCCTGTGAGCTCATACTTGCTGAGA